GCGATTTTCCTATGATGAAATTATCCAGAATAGTCAGTCAGCTGATGTGTACTAATACACAATTCTTGTGTACAGCACAATACAATAAACAACAGCCCTATTGATTGACGCAGTGCTCGATTGAAATAAATGTACATATATATAAAAAAAGGCATATATGGTTCGCATATACAGTGTAGTATTATTGACAATCCGAAATAATGTGGCTTTTCTTAATAACATACACTGAGGTATCACTGTTCAAATGTTACCATGATCCACTGGCGTTTGCTGCTAAATACTTGGTGAAGACGCGAATGACAGGAGATCTAAAAATCTGACAGTCTGACTTCCTTCCTCAGGAGCGTTTTTCACACCTTCAAAAAATAATGACACGTGTTTGTTATATTTCTATACGAAACGAGATAAGTATCTTTTCAGCTCACTGGCTGTTTAAAAAAGTATTTTATGAAAGCTTTCCATCAGATCGCTTCGTGAGAGTAATTAATACCACAGAAAGTAAAAGCGACTTTGTGAGTCAATTTTTTTAAAACAAAGGATGATTTGTTCTCATTCATGCCTCCCCCAAATTAGTGCCACTCATTGCCAACCAACTCCAAAGGGCAATTCTAGACAGACTCTTGGTGATAAAACGAAAGCGGGGGTGTAACCCACGGACAGATAACCACAAACTTACGCTATTTTACAGGATTTTGTCTTACGCTTCATTAAAAAATTCTAATCATGTGGAAGACTTTTATGAAAGTTTTGTCGCCGATTAACTTCTTGTTAAATTCTTGTTTGTTCAGTAATGGAAATAACACATTACTTTAACAATTGCCAAATCAATTAATTTCACCTTTATATTAATCAATTAAAGTTGTAAAAAACGCGTCCTACCGCTCTAGGGCTAACTGTAGCACATATTCAACTTTTCAGGTTATTTTAAATAAAAATGGGACATTAGTACAGTGTAAACCACTTAAGAAAAGAATGTAGTTATATCTGAATTATAATCAGCACTTAATCATACAAAAAAGATACGACAGTGCCACTGTCATTAAATGAAAACACAAAACCAACAAAAATTACGTTATTACCTAAATAGGATAATGTAATCACGTGACAAAAAACACGTCATGCCATGTAAAATCCACGTTATTACGTAATTGAGACACATGTAAGAGTATGAAAACAAGAGTCCCATAGGGCCGGTATCGTTCATCTGGTTTTGTTTTATGCAAGCGAAAGGAAAAGGATTAAAAGGATTTGCGTTTGTTGCTTCTTTGTGGCCTGCCCTCCTAAAATTTGGACAAATACTGTCATTTCTACAGTATAAGGATTTCAGATAAGTTGCTATATATATTCCCTTTTTGGTCCAGCCCATCTAACTCCTGGGGATCCAGAACCACGGTTGATATGATAATCGATTCCCTTTCATCCAAGGATGCTCGAAAATTTTATAAGTTATTGTCTATTTCCTTGTGAGTCCAATCTACCCAACTCTAAGGTCATGGCTCACCAGTTATTCAAACCATGTGTGCAAAAACACAGAAAAACTTGAAAAAGCCTTTTTTGCGTTATTGCGTGTTTCTGTTCACGTAATAACACAAAATGATTATTTTGACTTTTTTTATTCACAGTGACACTAATAGGATTTCGTACAAATTCAAGATCAACGTACCGACGGCAAACTGTGAACCAAAGAAAAGATAACAATTGACACGCAGAACATTGTACAAGGAGAATAAGACAAGATGTTCCATACGGTTAACATATTGGTTATCCTATCTGCATATCTAATACTCATCGTGTAGTTAATCAAATGTTTGCATTGGTAGCACCGAATATTGATTTTTGTTTACATTTTGGATTTAAGAAGCTCGTTCTTTTTGTGATGATGAGGATAATAAGTTCATTCTCTCATTAAGACAATCCGCTGCAAGAAAGTATCGTTTTACCCAGTTCGGCATAATCATTAACCTAATTCACGATTTGTTTTTTCTTACAATAACATGCGGCTGAATAGAAGGATTCTCTCCTAACATTGTCCCATGTATGAGATTAATTATTATTTACAGTTTAAAAACACAAAAAGATATAGAAGGAGACTTGCCATTTTTGATGTGTTGTCACGTATGCTTCCAAAAGGATGTTATATGAGTTTATTGAATGTTCTTGAAAAGCCGGTGTCCATGACCGAAGTCAATGACTTTTTTGCAGCCAAAACCCATACACTTGTTTTACAATCTCCCAGAATTGTCTCATTCAATAGAAAACGTATATGTCGTACGATCACTACTTCAGTGTGAGGCAGCAACGTCAAGAAGTCTCTTAAACGATTTCTAGGCGTAGAAAATACCGACATATCAACAGCATCATAATTAAAATTCATAACAGATAAATCAAGGGTGTAAAGAAGGTTTTAAAAGGCGACTAGCAGCGGAAAAGTACTAGCAGAAAAAGACCGGGTGTTCAGGAAGAGTAAGCGCAAATTGTCATGAAAAGTAAGCCGTAAGGATTGTTGTTGTTTACAGATTACACCAATTAAACAAAAGAAAAGGTCCACAGATACATGTATTATGTAAAGATAAGCCAAGCCTGATCGATGAACCTAGGTCAACCCAACACATATCATGTTCTCAAATCGAATCCTTTTGAAAATAAAGGATTGATAATAAACGAGAGAATGTTTTTCAATGTTTTCTGTCTATTATGCTTATATTTTACTAGTGCCAACCCTTCTCACAGAACCTTTCAGGTCACTGATCATTAATACCTCTCTTGATATCAGCGAATTCAATTTCTAGTACCGAAGACTTTTAACAATTCCTTATCGTTGGTTTCATTGTTTTTGTTTATCAACGTACTCGGGTAGAGCCAATGCAGCAATAGAAATGTTAATTGATGCAGGGGAGATTTCATCAGTAGAATAACATGCTGAAAAAAGGGATTTATACAACTGTAATACAGTAGACATACCTGATAGAATGGACATACAAAGAAGAAGCAAAACAACCAAGTCGTTTTCAAATTAGATTGGTGTAAAAGAAAAACCTCATTGTATTCAGTATAAGTGATTAGAATCACTAACCATCGCTGTAGGGTTATGTAATGTACATCAACCCTTCAACCAGCACTAATGCATAACGAAATGATTGTATCGCTTTTATGACCTAACCAGTGTATTTACCACCCACTCTGCTGGACGTAAGATTTTACCTTACTGCTTATTTTAACGAGCCAAACTAAAAGTGTCGTGTACCTTAAAATACTTATAAAGCCAGGTTACTTATCTCTGCTACAAACACCATGTCATTTCACCAGTTAACCAGTGCACCAGACAAATGGCGTCGAATTGGTTTGACATAAATATGAAAAACAATGAACATTCTATAATACAAACAAAATATGTAGTGGCATTTGAAACAAATAAGTAAATAAAAAATACCTACACAGGTGCGACTTTAAGCCTATCACATTCATTCTGTTTATAATGCTGCAGTATCTTAAGTTCGCGTGTGCTAAGTATGTACTAGAGATCATCCCTTGTTTCTTTATCTCAGCTGTCTAAAATAGCGCTCAACCGATTGAAATTAGAGCTAGTATTTACCAAGGTAACATTCCACATTCCATTATGGTACAAATAGCACCTTTCAATACGAATTTAAAATAAGATACGGTACAGACAAATAATTAATCGAACTGCATCTTGCCTCAAAATCCACGAGTAAAATCGATGCCTGTAAGGCAGTATCCCCGAGAGCATATACGAGGCTAATATATCAGATCATCATTATTTTTAATCCTCTACCAGGATTCGAATTCGGGTCCACAGCTAGCATTTATTTTGCAGGATATAGTTAATACAAGACGATTTATTGAGGATTTGATCTGGATTTAATAACATGTATATGGGTAAAAGTAATATTCAATCAAACTAGGGGGGGGGGGAGAACATCTGAAAAAGTACAAGGAGAATAAGACAACGTGTCCCGGAAGATTAAGCGTCTTCTGCTTCATTGACGAAACCCGCCATGTAAACCTTGGTTAATCCAAGTAAGTAATGATGCGTTCTTAAATGAAAACAAGGTATACAACAACGGAACCAACAGAAAAACTTATCAGATCCCATAATGTCCAGCTATATATTGCACAAAGAAAAAGAACTTTTCTCTCTTTTGAAAACCTGTGTCAGTTGACGAGTTCTTGCTCAAAAATCGTGATAATGGGACCAGGCCCTTGGATATTGAATCAAATGGGACATGTAAACACCATAGATTGGCGATACAGAAATGTAACCATCAAGAAATAAACGGTCTTGTCTTTGATTTGCAATTGTGGTGGGAATATAAGAAGGACGTAGTCAATATTTTGTGTAATATTAAGACAAGACGACATTAATATATCTGAAAGTGAAATCAAACGACTTTCCAATGTCTCCGATAATTTCAACCTCTAAAAACAAAGACAAGTGAGCTAACAGGTGGACACATTTAGTTCAAATAGGTATGGCAATAGTCTGTTGGAAGATCTTACCACCAAACTCGATATTGTTAACCAGAAACACGATCTTTTTTATGATTTCGCCCTTCATATATTTTTTCTTTGGTTTAGAAGCCTTTTTAGGAAACATTTCTCAGCGTAGTTCACAAACACATGCGTGTACCGCAGTTCACCTGCCTTGGAAAAGAAAGCTGTCATAACAAGAGAACGAAAGCCTTCTTTCAGTTTACAATAGAGTATAGTGGTGTAAGGAGAGGAAAAATCAAATGTCCATCACACTATTAGCATACCATGTCATATGAACACTGCGATGCTACATTTAGCATAGAAGTTATCAAAACATGTGATAAAGTTGTTAAACGTTTAGATCAACAAGCAACACGAAATTTGTTGACAATTTTCATTCTCATTATACAGAGTAGAAATGAATGTCAAGGACACGTCAGACTGTTAGAAAGCAACCAACAGTGACAAAGGTGTTGTATTTTTTTTATTTCTAAGTAGTAACAACTCACCTCATTCTTCGACATATGGAGTTCGCATGTCGCTTTTGATTCGATATTCTTGCGCGCGTTCCAAATATCAAGACTGTCGTGAGAGATGAAAGTTGGCCAAAAACCATACAGGTTTTTGATAGATGCAGGTTGATGAAACCTATAAGACGCCATTTTGATCATTTGATCATATTGAGAAATATTCCATTGCCTTGTATGATTTGGCGTTAGTTGTGTGCGGTTATCGGTGTATATAGTTTTGTGAGCCTGAAATATATCATTTGCTTGAATGATAAAGATTTACATGATGTTGTTGGTGAAGATTGAGACGTTAGCGATATACCTTGTATCTATATCGTTGTCTCTATGTAAATCATTTGATCATATTTTTTTGTAGACATGTGGTTTACCTCTTGTTGATCCAGTACAGGATATAGCAGACGAGCCATATACACTGATCTCGTTTTCAAAAGTGCGTTCCATACAGTAAATCACAGGTTACAGGAGACAAAAAAGGAAGGCCCGTGTATTTTGAATTTAGAGGTTATTGTAATGGTATTTAATTATTAACGCCATGCTGTTTTCAATGGTATTTTCCAAATATCTTTCTTTGTATATATTTGTAGCTGTTTACTTTTTTTCAAATAAGCTGGTAACTGCAGTATTTCATCATCATTATAGAAGAAAAATGGATGATCTGTTCATGAAGACTTTAACATAACCAGTGATCTTGAACGCCCCAGATGCCAAACATTCATTTCTATCTTATTTAGGAGATTTACCCTGTACCTGCGTGATATATTTGTGATATAGCGTCATACAACTTATCGGGTCTGAGATCAGAACACAACAATTTCCCGGGACTGGTAGCAGCCACAGAATCCATGTTTTAAGATGATATCCTATGAAAGTGTCCAAACACGGTAGAAATGATTTTTACCTTTTTATATTAATTTCCTTCAGTCAGATATATGAAACGGACCACATGTCACGAATGGTCTTTCGTCAGTTACCGGAAGTAGGGGGTGTGGCGGACAAGAAGAAACCTGTTATTTTATCTGTGACCGGTTATTGTTGGTGGGTAATAGGCCCTGTAGTGTCCTACAATGGGACGTTTTGACAGAGAGTGGTGACATTGCGTGCATTTACGTTATAAATTAGCTATCAGTAGAAATGGTAAATACTGTCTATAGACTGCAAAGTGTGTATATTACGGTGTGTTGTTTATAACTACATTCACTCATTAAGTACATGATGTACCGATAACAATATCATATGAATGTTCAAGGAAGTAAACACTTAAACAATAAATAAATTGTTCATAGACCGTTAGTGTCTCCCTGAATAAGGGTTCATTGAAAAGCACAGCTTCATTAAGCTGGATAACGAGATAACGTTTTTATAAAGTTAAGTAAAGATTTAACAAAGAATTTGGGAAACGAATTTTTATTTCTTTCAAAATTAATTCATTTTAATTTGCATTGTCTGTTTTGAAATACTGGAGTGGTGGTTAAATGAAAAAATAACACACAGGTCATCGGCATATTTAAATATGAAGTTTCTAATAAAAACTGCTTAGGCTTTTAAGCTCTTCGGGATGTCGTTAGTGGCAAAATATATTGCACTATGAGGAAAGAGTCCGAGAATATCGAAGTTCTATTTAACATTAACCCATTATTGTATCAATTTAACGTATGAGGAGCGAAAGAGTGTTTGTTCCTAGCCGGTGTTGCCACATAGGTACATGAATGGTGACTTGCAGAATTACAGTTGAAGTATTACAACACTAAAAAGGCACAGCAACAGAAACTCGTCAACCAGTTATCCAAAATCATAGCAGTGGAGACTGACGGATAACATCAATTTATATATCAATTAATAACGAATTTAAAAGATGTTGAATAGGTACGTAAGGAAAATTAGAAAAAAATGAAACAGGGCTTTGCAGTTGTAACATTCTATTAATAGCCTGGTGGTTTTATGACGTCATGCTTCTGATGATTCAACGCTTTGCATGTCATCCTGGCGAACCCAACAGTTACTTTATGATTTCTTACGTGTGAATATGTGAACCAGAAGAATGACAGATTACGTTTATCGTCAGTAACAGACATGACATGTAGGTAATAAATACAGTGTGACACTCATTCACGTGTTCAATGTACATACTCTCTAACACAAAGCATTCGTGATTTATTCGATAACTACATCCAGTGGTACAGTGCTGCAAAGACGTCTAATCGAGAAATTACGTCATCGTAAACATTGAAAGTTTTTATTTCTTTATTTTTGACAGGTTTGTCCAGTTTAATTTACTTTAGCAATACTGCAATCATGAAATAGATGTTTTCATGAAAATGGAAAAAAATGTAGGTGTTGTGAACACAATGTACACAAACGAATTAAAAACTTGTAAACATTTCCATGTCAATTTTCAAACTATAAATCATTGTTCAATTTGGACGTAAGATAAGACCAAACCAACATAACTGGCAAAAATTGATGGTCAATGTTTTTGTTATTGTGAATATACAATTATCCCGGAACAGATTATAACGATATCAGATATTACATCACGTTTTGAAAAAAAAAATAATAAAAAATGAAATTCAGGTACGACGCAAACATTTCGTAAAATGAACTGTTTTTTTTTTGCTTTTCATTTTGGTTGGTGTTTTTTGTTTAGAATATTCTTCAACAGAGATGAAAGTGACCAGTCCCATCAATACAACAGTGCGATATGAACAAAAAGCCTGAATTAAACAGAAAAAACATGTATGTTATGGAGGAAACTAAGATGATGTCCGATATGGATTCCACGTGGTTTTTATCTATATGTAGTTGGCTTGCCATCCTCCAGTTGTGATTAAGAACTGAACCCTAAACAGCTGGAAATATTAAAATGTTCCTACATAGATAAATTCATATAAATTTGTGCTGAAGCAAGAGGCTATAGTCTTCTTCAATATTTCACACGTTTCGCGGGTCTTTGAGAAATGTCATGCACCATATTGGCCTGCATGCAAGTATCTCGAGGTTTTTTTGTTAAGATAATAGGGTAGATTTGATACAAGTTATGTAATGTCTTCACATCACATCAATATTTTCCAATGGATATATTGGAAGAATCCGGCGCTAGATCTGACGGTTTGGTAGCTATCCTCGACTAATCGTTCTTTTCATTGAGCACTTTTGACACATTGACGACTCGTGTGCTACCGCCTCAATGTCCGGTGGTAGTTACAGGTTCGAACAAACCGTGCGCTCGAATATCATTAGAATTCTTGTCATTTGTTTTACACATCCTGGCAATAAATGCATATGTAAACAACGCAGGCTTTCTCCCGTAAACATCTTCGTCATCAAAAACATCAGCGCCTACTGCAGTCCTGGAAACGCACAGCATCATCAGGCCGGAAAACCCTACCACATGTGAGATGATGGTGCTTAGTTTAGGGTTGTCTGGTAGAAGCGAAGTTGTTTGTAGTAACCAAACGCCTCTCCAATAATGTATACTTACTAGTGACGCTACAACATGGTATGCTTTCTCCACCAACTTCCGCACTATGTAAAATCTATGTTTATCTCTGCAGAAAATTCGGACAGAACGTTCACCAGTTAGAATCGGTATTGCCAAAAATATACTCATTGCAAGAGAAAAATAAGCCGACAATACCGAATCCTCAGGATATAGGTAAACATCCGCGACACTCCAGTGACCGTGCCAATACGCTGAACAAGTGTTACAGAAGACAAGGTTAAACCCCGTCTCAGCGAAGACTGCAATCCATCCCGATCTATTCTGAAAAATATAAAACAAGTGTTTTGTTACAATACAGGAAAGGAAAGTGATCACGATTGCTATCTTATTTCTTTTTCTTTGTTTTTATCAAATCAGAGATTTTACAAAAGATATGTGAATGTCGCTTTTTTCAAATACAAAGATACCGTAAAAAAACATATTTAATTAAACCTAAGACTTGTCAGTGATACTTAGGACCAAAGTTAGTTCCTAAACATTAAATGTATTCTGAATCGTGTCTTGTATACAAAAGACCACTGTATGATATGAATAAGTATAGGAGTATCTAGTATGTCGATAAAAATGGATCAATCACAGAAGAAAGCCAAGTGTATACAAATTCCTATGTTCTGCCTATGTAATTAAAAGTTTGGGGAAATAACTACTAAATACTGCTAATTAATGACGAGATGATAATTTAGTTATCTATATACATACATATCTATATTTGTTTGTTGTTTAGAAGTGTGATATATACATTCTACGTCAATTTCCAGTTTTTTTTTTTTTTTTGGAGAATGTTATTTGTGTTCGCGTCAGAATTCCACTTAAAGGGGACAGTTTAATTTTATATTCGCCATTACGTTATGATATCCAATCGGTGTCAACTTTGGTGAGACCAGCTTACTTATGAATCAATATTCAATATAATAGGGACAGATACTCACGTCGGAGTCATCGTTTCGCTTAATGGGAATTACCGTAAAATAGTCCCGTTTGTCCGAATCATGCATGACCACTAAAGGTGGTCCAGTGGCTTGACCCATACGTCCAAAAATAGAAAGGGCCAGAAAGGACACCAAATAAGCAATCCAGTAGTTGATTCCGTAACATTCCAGTAACCCCCAGAGTCCTCGCCACTGACAAACGTATAACGTAGCCACAAGGTAGGCGTGTACCCTGGTTACGACACACAACCCAAACGAAGAAAGGTTTTCGGGAGTCAGAAGCATATTTAAAGTGTCCTGAAGCATTGTCATCATCAGGAGTAGAACATTGCCACCAAGACACGATATCCACAGGCTAAGTTCATAGTTTGTTGGGAGTAAAAACAAATCTAACATATCCCAGGTTCCACGCCAGAAAAATACAACTAAAGCAGCGATAATACTAAAGTTTGTAAACACATCGACAGACAAAATAAAAGCTGTATAGCTAGATTCCATTTTTACAGCAGTGTGTAACCTATATTTAGAAAAGGTGTCCGTGGTTATTTCGCTACGGTCTAATAAACATACCTGATTACCTAAAGGATGATATTCAGTGAAAGACGAACAAGACACCATGTTATTTGATTCTCTTGGTCGACACCAAAATCAGTTTAACCCAATTAGATAAAATACTGCACAACTGCGAACGCCACATATACTAACACGAAAAAGAAACGCCGGGTACACTAAATATACTACAAATGATTTATTGCTTGGCCTAGAATAATGACACTCGGTCAGGTTGATGTGTTGTTCGCGGTCACTAGGTACACGTGTTTAAAATCACACAATACCTGAACTCCGCGCTCCGTGCGAGGCACGTGCTAAAATACAAGAATCCCGTGCAGGGGAAGGTAATTGAGTTCGCCAATGGAAAATTTCAGTCTATTTGATACTGTTCAAGTATTCGGATTGATTTTTCAAAGTTTGATTCGAATTAAGCAATTTACATCCATGCCACGATTGACGGAAATCCAGCGGGGACAGGCTATAGGAATGCTTTTGCAGGGTCAGGGCCAACTTCAGGTTGCTGCACATTTTGGTGTGCATATTCGGACAATTCAACGTCTTGTCCAACGTGTGCGAGTGACGGGGAGGGTCATCGACCGACCGCGAAGTGGACGTCCGCGCGTCACGACGCCACATCAGGATCGGTTTATAAGACTTTCTCATTTACGTAATCGCCATATCACAGCTACCGAAACTGCAAATAACACTATAGGCAGTCATAACCGCCATATTCATCCTGATACGGTTCGAAACCGATTACGCGTCAATGGCCTACGAGCTTTACGTCCCTATGTTGGTCTGCCTCTAACTCCTGCGCGTCACCAACGCCGATTGGCTTGGTTACAAGCACACTCGCCCAGAAATTATGCTTCATTGACGAATCCCGGTTCACTCTACCGTTCGGACGGGCGACGTCGTGTATATCGACTAACGCCGCGATTGGGATTATCTTACAGGGTCTTAGCCCTCGACTGAGATACCCCGATCTCGCTCAGTTACAGGTGACAGATTTTATCAATATATCACTGGGATTTATCTGTCTCATCTGCGAGAAATATCCATACCTCATTTGTGCTGAAAAGTCCTTAGTTTTCTTTTGCATGTTCACTTTAGTTTTGAGTCACAACGACTGTGTATTCTGTCTGTTCTATTGATTGTTTTAGTGAGATAATGTCGTCATAAAGTGAAAGACAACAGACGTAACAATTAATTCCATCTCACAACAGCAGATAATTAGAAATAGATTATATAAATACATTCGATTTTGTAAATATCTGTTGTGTAGATGGTTTAGTGGTTTAGTAAAACTCTTAAAAAATGGTTATTTTTGTATCAATTTATTTCATTGTTACACTTAACATGTAGCGACGCCAATGTCTCCAAGTGGCCAAGGTGGAGTCTGGAAATACTGGTTTATTAAGAGATGTGACCCATAAAATTAGATTGAACTTGTACCTGCATCATATTGCAATTGTGCTTTTAGTACATTTGGTAAAAAAAATAATAAAATCGACGCTCTGGAAAAGACTCTCCGATTTTGGTCTATCTAGTCACTTTAACTGTATATTTCCGAATTTCAGGTCATAACTGGATTTATTCCTGGTTAATCTTGTTCATCAAATATTCATTGGAAAGATAAAATATGTTTTCTTCATTTTCCCGTTGGGAATTCGTACGAAATTCATATGACCAGGAGGCCATAATTAAGCGGGGTACATCTGTCACCTATTCAGAAGCGACCGAAAGCTGTATTTTAGCACATTCCTTAAATTCGACCGATTTACTTTTGTAAAACCTGCTTTATTGTCAATATTAATTTGAACAAGAGATTGGGTACAAGTTATTATGACATATTAAAGCAGTCTCCCGTCATATATTTATTATTACTTAACATCAGTGAATAGGGTATCAAATGAAGGAGAAACATTTATGTATAACTAAACCGACACTCGATCACAGCATCAAAACATTTCTCAAATCTGTTGCTGGATTTGATAACAATTTTTTACATGTCTTAACACTCATTCTGGAAGATGTTAAGGTCTACAGAAAGATCTGAACTCCCAAACAAAAAGGATCTAAATTCAACTAAGGCATTCAAATTTTGAAACATATCTCGCCTTTTAATGTCAAAAGTTGACATTCAAAGAAAAACCATGTTCACAGTTGCACACTGGATCTTCGCAAAGATTCACTTCAAAGCCATGTTTGAAACTACGACATTTCAGTGTCAATTTACTATGTATATAATTCAACTTTCGTTTTCCAACACTGAAGGAAGTAGGTAGGGATGCTGGATGGCACTGGTCACTGATAGTTCCATCAACGAAGAGTAGAAAGTATAAAAGAGAGATTTGTCAGAGAAAGTCTGAAACGGAGGGATTTGTCAGAGAAAGTCTGAAACGGAGGGATTTGTCAGAGAAAGTCTGAAACGGAGGGATTTGTCAGAGAAAGTCTGAAACGGAGGGGTTTGTCAGAGAAAGTCTGAAACGGAGGGATTTGTCAGAGAAAGTCTGAAACGGAGGGATTTGTCAGAGAAAGTCTGAAACGGAGGGATTTGTCAGAGAAAGTCTGAAACGGAGGGATTTGTCAGAGAAAGTCTGAAACGGAGGGATTTGTCAGAGAAAGTCTGAAACGGAGGGATTTGTCAGAGAACGTCTGAAATGGAGGGATTCTATAATGAATTTTGATATATAATGATAAAATAAATTTTATACAAAAGTTGTAGTTTTCTACATTTTCGTCGATCTGAAAGAGTGTCTAATCCTGATTCGAACTGCATATCTTTAAGGCCTGCATGCTATGATACGAGCAGCTGTTTTTATTCCAATCTAGTACAACCATCTCATAATTCTTATGCTGCAATAAAACTGACAGAATGAATTATTTAAAAATCTATCAACTGATTTGATTAAATATTTCATTAAAGATATAGATAAGAGTTAAAATAAGGGGTTTTGTTTGTTGTAATGAAAAGATTTTATAGGAAACTCGAATAAAATTGCTGTCATATCCAATGAAGTTTGGAACTAAATTCCGCCTGGTGTGATTTGTAGTAATTATTCTGACATATGTTAGGAGTGATACCAGGGTAAACAAGTGTTGAACAACAAGCTGCAATAATTTGAATTGATTATATCTTTATAGTCCAGAAATATAAACTGCTAATTTGATTCGCAACAGAAAGACAAAAGAAGTTTGCCGCTTGTGTGGAAGTCACGCGACAAAAATATATAATGTCGTACACGCGAAAATTCAGGTATGTGTATAATGCCACATTTCTTGTTACATGGTCTCGACCTGTTTAAAGATGAGTGAAAAACCTCTTGATGTTGTTTAATTCTTATTTGAAAATTTCAACTAACCCGTGGCTCTGTAACCAAGCTTTCATCAACAGGAAGCCTGAGACTTCGACACGTCTGGGCTCTTGACATGAGAGTGTTTCTCTGTGGATGTTTATGATTTAAATTCTTTTTCATAACAAGAGTCTGTGGTCGCTTTCACGAACCAAGCTCAAATTATTCAACCATAAACGGAATTACGAACGCACTATTCCACGGGTTTTACTTAGGTAGAAATCTGACTATCGCCCAGATATATAGCTGCGACCAAAATAAAAAATCCGGATAATTAGTCAGAACTTATTGGATAACGAACGCACCAAATGTTTGAATGCATAGTTTCGGGAAACAATGAACCAAAATAAAACATCACCCATGTTATCATTTACTTATAACATAAAAACATTTTCGGAAATATACATGTGCTTTGTACTGAAATTGTGAAAACTCAGAGTATTCAGCAAGTTTTAATTTCGGACAGACACACCAAGACACTCTTAAACTTCACATGCATAATATTCTGCAGTCAAACCTCTGACCCGATCTGTTCGGTCCAACAGTTTCAATCGCTTACGCAAGCGCTCCGGAGTTTGGGTCAATGTCCGTGTTCTTTAGTAGCGCATCCACAACAACTTCCGTATATAATAATTGCTATTGATTTTTAAGTCTTCTACAAGGTGTATGGACCATGCGATAAGCTATAACTATATTCCAGAGAGAAGAAGAATGCAAGGTATACATGTTGCTAAATTAGAATAATAGTAGAATGAGGTTAGATTTATTGTTTATGCAGGTGGTTGGGCGGAACGTCATCATATGATCAGATGATGATGGACCAGAGAATATTCAAAGATCTGATAAGCTGATCATTGCGTGTATTGTACCCGGTTAATCCTGTTTCCATCTACCGGTGTAAGCTTACATCTATGATAAGTGTTACATGTTGTTCTTATGTTGTTTATCTGCTCAAACTGCCCTTTCCAAAAACAAGCGATCGACCAGCATCTGATTATGCCAGTCGTATAATATAAGAAACTAGCTCCAGTTATGACTTATTTGTCCTAAGCTTTAGTGTGTGTGCGCTAACCCGTGAAGTCCCAAATTACAAATTTAACTGAATTTATTTAACAACAATTGCTATACATGTTTGAAGCTTATATTAAGCACTCTTGCTGGCCGGATAGAAGCACGTTTTTTTTTTGTGGGAGAAAACCTACGTAGTTGGGTAGGTAACCCTTTACATTTTCACGCTCATGCTGAGAATCAAACCCCAGATGCTTAGGTGAAAGGCGAGTGTGTTACCGCTGCATCACCAGACCACACAATTCTCAATGTTGTTATCTAACCTTATCTAGCTATGTCTATTTCACGCCTATGGCGAAGTGTTAAGGTAGGGAAGCCAACAAATTTTTCAACCTTGTCAAAAGTTCAATATGATGGCAACTATGTAACTTGATTGCACATTCATGGTTTCCCTGAGCAACGCCTAATTTTAACTTCTCTTTAGTTCTATCAGTTGAATTGAGCTGAAAATTACCTGCGATGATTTTGAGATGGCCTTGACCAAGTGTTATTTTATTTGGGTCTGTCTGAAATCTGATATGGCCACCATCTTGAAAAACACATTAAAAATTTCTGTTCAAGTTTCACTGGTGCCACTGAGCTTAAAATTGGTGGAAGTGTTAAGGAAGAAAAGCGGATAAAGTGTTGGTATTTTTTTGGCCTCAAAAGTTCAATATGGCAGGCATGTAAAATTCCATTTTGTAACATGATTGCACAGTCATGGTTCCATAAATAACATCAACTTTTAATTTCTCATGTTCCACCACAGGGATTTAGCGGGTCCTTGTCTGAAATGATCCTGAGATGGTATTTTTTGAGTTGGTCAGAAATCCAATATGGCAACAATGACAGCTGCCTTAAAAACAAATTTTAAACTTCTTCCCTTATTTAAGTTCCACTGATGCCAATGGTATGAAATTTTGTGGGAATATTGAAAAAAATGAATAAAAGAATGATTTTGCTGAGATACTCTGACCTGTTTTACTCAGGTAATAGTTATTCCCACTACTGTTGTTAACAGTTTGTCATATAACAGTCTTTATAGTCATCAGGTGACCATTAAACTCCTTGGGTCTCTTATCTTCAATTCTTATTTTGAGGCAGTATTCGTTACACATACATAAAAAGACAAACAGAGGTATAAAATATGACCTTTAAGTAGACAAATAGTTCCATCATCTAGAAGAATTTTTGCACCTTTTATCCTGTTAAATAACTTTCTTAAGTTTTCAAAACAACAAAAACTGAAAAAAACACTAATTATGAAGAGAAAACCCCCAACTTGTTAGTGTCCCAGTAGTATTGATTTAGAAAACACTTTTTTTAAGTATGAATTTAATGACAGATACTTACATGTACATTCAAGGTGGAGATGGTCTGTATAACAGAATGTCATCAGCCCACATGTTTAGGGAGGCTCAGGATGCAGAATTTGAACATAAAACAAAGAAAGGTATGTATATACATTTCTGGGGGTAAAGTGTTTATGGAATTCTAGGATATCCTCCAGAAATCTAGAAATTTATAAAAGATACTGGTGGATGATATCATCAATTAAATGGAAGAAAAAAGATAACTGCATATTTCATTTTACAATGAGATCAAGTCATAGAAATCTGCCAGCTGAGCAATGCATGCCCCTTGTGCCTCTTGTTTCCTCTGGAAAACCTGTGAACCAGAATTAATGTTATTTCAGAAACTTTCCAGACCAAAGGTAAACCCAGAATTCTATATGGTCCCTGCCCCCTGCCCCCCCAACCCCCAGGGGCCGGAGAGTCAGAGCCATAAAGTGTAGCATACTGGAATGAAAGGTGATTCAAAGGGCCAAGTGAGCTTTAGTGATACCTCAACCTTCATTGTCCATTCGTCCTTGCATTGTCTGTTAATTTTTCCTATGAATTGCAGCAAGTCTTGAACTACTGAATTTTAATAAAATTTGGTCTAAAGTATCTTTGGGGAAGGGGAACCAATTTAGTGTAAACAGTGTGTCTGGCCCCGAAGGGCCAAAGGTGCAAGGCCTTATATAGAAGATCTACCTTTTTCTTAAAGAATTGCAGGATATTGTCCAGATTTGGTCTGAAGCATACTTGGGTGAAGGGAAGTCAGTTTTGTATAAACCATGGGTTTAGGGTCAGAAGGGCAAGGCCCAATCAGGTACAAAAATTTCATTTTCTTTAAAATCTACCTTGTTCTTCATACATGATAGGATATGGTCCAAATTTGTTCTGAAGCATCCTTAGGTGAAGGGAAATCAGTTTGTATAAGCAATGGGTCTTAGGCCCCTGGGGATAGAGGGGCAGGGTCCAATATGAAAAATCTTTCAATTTCTTTCAAAAATGTATCTTGTTCTTCATTAATTGCAGGATATTGTCCAAATTGTCCAAAATTGGTCTGAAGCATAGTGAGCTGACAAGAAATCATTTTGATAGAAATGGTTGGTGTCTGCCCTCAGGGGCCAGAGGGGCATGGCCAAAAGGGGAAATAGAGCATATTCCTAAAAATCCTACTCCTCCTAAGAATGAATGGATTTTGCCCATATTTGGTCTGAAGCATCCTTTAATGAAAAGGAATCAGTTTTGTATAAACTTTTGGTTTTGGCCCTTTTGGACAGCCATGCAGGGTCCAAAGGGCGAAATGAATAATGTAAAATCCTTCTTCTGTGTGAATATCTTGATGTTATCCCAATTCAGCCTGAATTATGATTGGGTGAAGAGGAATCAATGTTATACAAACAGTCTCAGCCTTGTATGATGGGAATTATAGGACCCATTAGGGGAAGTAGGCAAATTGTTTTAGATCATTCTTCTGATGTAGGAATGCTTGGATTCTGTCCCAATTTGGTGTGAGGCATGCTTGGATAAAGGGGATCAATTTTGTATGAAAAGTAGGTTCTAGTCCATTGGGACCAGATTGGTGGGACCAAGTATGGGAAATTCTTCGAATCTTTATCATGTTGGAACTTAAGACATTCTTAGTATAAGGAGCTTATTTACTTACAAACAGCTGCATCTAACCTCATTTTGGAGGAGGGTTGAGTGTATTAAAGGGAAAATAATACAAGTTTTTTTTTTTTTTAATTTTTTTCCTAAGTTAAGATAATTTGATTTAAGCAAGCTAAACCAGATGAGTGATACAAGAACTATGGGCCTCATGGTGTGTTGTAACGTGTTTGAGGAAAAGGATTTCATGTTTGCAGAAATTGATTTTATTAAACAACAATTCTTCTTTGTAAGCTTTAGAACAGATGAGCAGTTCAGGCCCAATAGGCCCCTTGTTCTTTATGTTATGCAAGTTAGGGACACAACTTTTTTCTTGTCAAAATCTTCATGTTGAAGTTTGTTTATGATTCACCTTTCATTTTTTGATAGTGATCTATAAGGACACTGCTTAGAGGCCAAAGATGAAACATGGATAATGTTTAGTCAAAATGTGAATTCAAATTTGTTCCATCATGATAGTTGCCAGGGGCCAGTTGGGGTTAATTTGCTGGGTCCTGTAGAGGTAGTTGAAGGGCAGGAGCACAGGACATGGAAGGTGAAATTTTTGCTATATTACAGAAGAACATTAAAGTAATCTTTTATTATCTATAAATAGCTTTTCTTAATATATCCATTCTGTGTGATAACAACAGGTGAATATTTGTTATTCAAAACTAGGAATTGGCTTGTTTTATAATTTTCCGTATTGTTTTACTTATTACAGTGGCGGAGAAGATCTCAGAAGGTATGAATATCATAGCCAATGAGCCGTCATTAGCTTTCTTCCGAATCCAGGAACATGTGAGAAAGTCTCTACCACAGTTAGTGGAACAAAAGGTGATATTCTTATATTTCTCTCCAATCAGATTATTGTATTGAACATGTTATAAAAATACCTGCATATTGTGTCTCCCTGAACAACTTCATCATTCCTTATATACCATTAGTACATAATAGCTAGGCAGTTCAATACTTCTAATAACACTTTCTACATATATTTTTGACATTTGCAGATTTTAAGTCAAACACAAGCTGCAAAAGTCAGTAAATTTCATAGGTTTTATTTTCTTTGGATTTTGTAAGTATTTCAGGGGAACTAAACTACTTAGTGATCTCCTGAATACAATTTATCTGTGAACTCAAGTCCTAAGCAAAAGGCTATTTCCTCAAAATACAATAATCAATATAATTGATTGGTTAGAATATCAAGGCCTTAGACATTAAACAAAGCATCTGAATCATAATTTTATATTTGATTGTAATGGGATAGTAATAACTGTACATTTCAAATGATGTATTTCTTTCCAGCATGAAGTACAAGATTTACAACAAAAAGTCCAAGGAGCTAGTTTTGATACTGAATATGCTACAAAGTAAGATATATAGATTAAGTTGATCTATCTGTGATAAATAAGGTTGCTTCTCTGATTTCACATGTCCTCTGAATATCTGCTCTCTTTTTACCCCTGACAAAGGTAGATATATTAATCACTTAATCTGTGCAGGGATACATTTCTGTGTCTATGGTAACCATGTATACATGATATATCATGGTTAAGTTTAGTTTATATTCACACCATAGCATCACCCAACCAAGGTTTACACCGATATATTTTGGTCGTCATTGGTTAAGAGTACAGGTCAAAGGTCACTGTTGACCTCTTAAGCCTTGTGTATAACTGATAAAACCATACACAGTTAGTTGATACAGTAAAACTTTGATGAGTCGAACTTCGATGATTCAAATTTCTAAATGTTTCGAATTTTTTGCCAAGTCCCGATTTTTTCCCCTATATAATACTACTAATTTCACATTTATGAATCGAAGTTCTTGCTGTTTCAAACTTTTTTCCCAGTCCCATGGTTAAGAAACCATTAGAAATCACAACACATGAATCGAAGTCAAAAAAATTTACCTGTACGAGAAAAATCGAATGTCCCATGGCAGTTTTCACACCTCGGCGGAAGTGTGAACAATGGCCAGGCAAGGGCTAGACACAAAGTGGCGATAATCACTGACCATGTCTGATTGTCTACACAAGCTGTATTCTCAAGTCATTAACCGTTAAGTGGTGTGATTATGGCGTGATTGTTTGTTTGTCCACGTATGGATGTTGTTCCATCCTTTTTGAAATCAGTTGAAACACATACCGGAAGTGAACTGAACTCTCATCTCCGATATTCTGTGACAAAGTTGCGTTCGAACAGACATTTGATAGATTATGCAAGTGATCAACACGAGATATTGATAAGGAACTCTGCATATAACACAAACGGACACAATACACATCTTTTACAGGTGTATTTTTTGTGGTTGGACGGTCACCATTCATGAGTCGAAGTCCCGATGTATCAAAGTTTTCTTGATCGTCCCTTGAACTTCGACACATCAAAGTTTTACTGTATTCAAATATAGCATCACCCAACCAATGTCTATATTTGGTTACATGTTGGTTGTTATCAGTCAAGACTAAAGGCAAAAGTTCACTCCTGACAAAGTGAACCATTGGTATGGGATATGTTATGAACCTATGGACAGATTTCACCTGGTCTACACTTGATCTGATTGTGATGGTCATCGGTTACACTGAAAACTTAAAGGTCACACTAGACCATTTTTAAAATAAAATGCTTTGTGCAAGATATTACAGATAAAAAGACCGGCCTGTGCACTTTGTTTTTATTGTTAATGTAAAAGACAACAACTTCAGAACAAGGTTACAATATCTAACAATATTGAAGTATCAGTACAGTGTTATTCACTGTAAAAGCTGTGAACATTTTGATGTAACCACTAATAGCAAAATAAAGCAATTTTTTAGAAATGCTATGCCTGCTGTAGGAATGATTGGATATTGCCTAAATATGGTCTGAAGCATGCTGGAGTGAAAGGGAATCAACTGTTTAGTTTAGGCCACTTACGACAGGGCTCTTAGGGAAATAGAGCAAATTCTTTAATAAAATCCTTCTCCTCCTGAAGGAATGTTTTGATTTTGCCCAAATTTCGTCAGAATCATCCTTGAGTGAAGGGGATTCAATTTTGTATTAACAGTCTCATTCCCCTGGGTTGGGAGGAGTGGGGCCAAAGAGGGGAAATAGAACAAATGCTTTAAAGTCCTTCTTCTTCAGTAGGAATACCTGGATGCTGTCCCAATCTGGTCCAAAGCATACTTGGGTGAAATTTTTTTATATTTAGTGTATCTGATGATAACCCCCAGGGAGCAGAGTGGCAGGGTCTAACAGCAGAAATAGGTACATATGTTTTACACACTGTCCCTTCAGTTTAAATTAATCAATATTGGCAGATTTAACCAGATGAGTGATACAGGTGGTATGGGCCTCTTGTTGCAGTTGTGTGTCTGTCACCTCAGATACTAAAGAATATTTTCCATATTTCTGTCTCATGGACAGCTAATAGTAAAATAAACTTGCTTGTTATTTTTTTACTTCAGCGCTGTCAAGGGTCTGCATAAAAGCAACATCCACTTTCAGAACATACAGGACCTCCTAAAGAATGCCATGTTTATGAAGCAGCAGATTGACTATGAACGAGATAGAAGGTAAGTACATTACCTGTGATGGAAGTATTGTAGTGTATCAGAGTTTTACTTTCTGTAGATGGTGATGGCTGGTTTTAATAAAAAGTTTTGTGTTTAGTTTGAAATCTGTATTTTATGGTCATAATTGGGAACCTTTACTGGTTGTTCAGCTTCTTTCTGATGACTGATTTTATGTACATGTGTTTGAGATATACATAATGTCAATTATTATAAAATATATTGATTTCATTTTTATTTCTGTTTGACCTAAGGTAAACTATCATAACAAAATAGTGACTTTTTCTCTGTCTCTATGATTTAAGAGGTTTTGTACCAACAGTCCTGCCCTACACATATAGCCAATGGGAATATGTTATCTTAATCAGATTTTTGTAACATTGCTTTCAGCTCGACATTTGAAATGGGAAACTAAAAATATGAAATAAATCTGTTACATTGTAAAAGCTTAAATATTTGGAAAAAAGAATGATTTTAGGAGAGCAATGATCTTTGTTTATATTCATTTTTTAATACTAAATGGATGTAGGATCACTCAATTTGAAAGTTCATTCAGTGAAGTTAAGTAAATATTCAGAATTTCCATTCAATGAGTGTGAGTATTCAGCTACAAAGCCTGTAACTAGTTTGACAGATATCTGTCTTGTTTTGTGCTGCTTCCTCTCAAAGAGACCAGGAGAAGGTAAGACCTAGTATGTATGGTACAGCAAAGAAACAGTGTAATGTTCCTGGGGATAGGCATTCCCTTCCTCCCACCCCTACCAGTCCAGGGGCTCAGAGCCTGAACACACCCATCCACACCACCACCAGCACTCATACAGGTCGGAGGTCAAGATCTCTTCCTCCCTCTAAATTGAGTAGTTCTAGACCAAGGGTGACCACAGGATCAGCATGTAGTCCAAACTCTCTGTAAGTCATGGTTATTTTGTTTTCCACTAGTAAGCCATTGTTGTCTGACTTATAGACAAACAAGGCCTAACAGTGAGGATTAGAAATTATTTCTTTGTCCGGTGTTAATACATGATAAAGCAATGTTGTACATGATTTCTTATATCATTGAATACACTTATCCAACAGATTTTCAGACTTTCCCTTACACGTTGTTTAAATTTCAATAATTGTTAAATAAGTTATATCATCTGGTGTCATTATCACTCTAGTTACACTGAATGGACCCCTGGAGCTTCCTGTGGGATGGAACTAGATCTGTTGTTAAGTCCCATTTTCTATTGTTTATATTTTGTTTTCACACTGAAGTCATAAAAATTCCCAAAATACAGAAGTCAGGAATTCAAAATCAAGAAATAGATGGTCCCATTTTCAACCCAATTTTCCACCTTAATTGTGCAAAAAACCCCCTTTTTTCCGCTAGATGGCAATTTTGCAAACTGACCAGGAATAACACCCTGGTTTGATGGATGACCCTTTATACCTTTTCCTTAGAAATAAGATTCTAGTCACTTTGGTGAATGGTGATTGTGCTAATATTGCACCACTTAACCACCATTAGTTATTCATTTTATGAATCAAGATATGTAGCTGGAAGTTAGTGAGGCAACTTTCTGGATTTTAAGAGTTGAAGTTTGTTAACACTTTACCTCTATTTCACAACAGCTATTATTTTATATCATACCTATAATATCAGCAGTATATCTGTATAGTAATTAGTACTTGGACTCATTTACTGATCTCTGAATATATTTAGCTCATCTGGTCCGAAGAAACGGTGATCTTATGGTATAGCACAGCTTCCATCGTCCATCAACTATCAACTTTTCGTACCCCTTGCCATAAAATGATGATTGCCCATGTCTGTCACCCTATATCCCATTCTGTTCTGTCCTGTTTGGTCTTTTCACATCTCGTTGCATCCCGTTGCATTGTTAGCTCCTGGAATCTACATTATTTGACAGATTTTAATCAAACTACGTATGTAGGTCAATTTTGAGTATACTTTGGACATTGTTGTATTTCAGGGGCCCAAGGTCAAGGCCAAGGTCCTCACTGCTATATATAGAACATCATCAAATGATTCAAGTTTGGCCAAACCTTATCCAAGAATTAAACATGAATAATTAACAGTCACTACTAGTCTTAAATGAAAAAAGTAAATATTGACCAAGTTTAGTCAGAAGCGTCCATAGGGGAAGAAGGAACCAATTTGGTATAAAATCCTGGACTCTGTCCCAATTCAGTCTGAGGCATGCTTTGGTGAAGGAGATCAATTCTCTATAAAGATTGTGTTTTGGGCCTCCAAGGAAGTTCTTAAAAAGTCTTTCTTCTGTTGGAATGATTCAATTTTGTCTAAATTTAATCTAATGCATACTTGGGTGAAGAAAACTGTTATATATAAACAGTGCATTTAACCCCCATGAGGGCCAAGGGATGGGACCTTATAAAATATTTTCCCTCCAGTATAAAACAAATCAATTTCAGCAAACTTAACTAGGTGAGTGATACAGTCTCTGTGGGGCTCTTGTTTTAAATTACTGATTTTGTTTGTTTGTTTTCTTTTTTAATTTTTTTGTTTTGTTTATAAAGTCAATCATAGAATGAATGTTACTTTTCTGTATAATTATATAAATATAATTGAAAATCTATTCCTGTTACTTGCTGTACTTCCTACTTTGAAGTATACCTGTCTATTTTATGCCGTCTATACAGCTGTTATTAATGTATGTATGTGCTTAAGTTTGTTTAAGTTAATGCACTAAGAGTGTGAAACATATTCTTCCTTTAATAATTCCATTTTCAGATCTTTATAATTCTGTTTTTCGTGTGATGTGTTTGTGTATCTGTCATTAGTAGTTATTTATAGGTTGTTTGATCACCCAGGAATTATATTGGACACATCTGCTTGTTTTGAAATATCTTTTAAAATGTCTACACTTTTAATAACTTTTGAAGTATTTTTCTAAGCTTGGTTCCAACTGGATTTGAGAATATGAGTATTGTTACACTAAACACTTTATATGTGTATTGTAATAAATTTATGACTTGAGCTTGTGCTGACACAGCCTTTGAGCAGATTGAATGAGTAAAATGGTCACCAATTATTCTTGTAAGTTTCAACCCACTGTCTACAGAATCTTAGAAAGAACTAGAAAGAGTTTTCTTCAAAGTTCATGTGGAATGATATTCCAGGTGTGCCCTGTATATTGTATACATCCCCCCCACTATCAAAAAAGAGAAAAGTTTCTTGTTTTTGTTTAACTCCTTGATTTATTTTCAAACATATCGATAATACAATTTAATATAGAGGATCATAAAATGATGGACACAGAAATCCCCCTCAGATCACTTTAGTTTATAATTAACTGTGTTACTGTACAATTTTTGTTACATCATATATTGTTTTCAAACAGTATATTAAGTTTTCAGAGATCAACGAATGTGGAGATATTAAAACTGAATAGTCTTTGTTTGATGGCTAAAACCTTAAAATATGGCAGGAAATTTTGTCAACAACATTGAAAAGCATTAAATTTCAACATAAGGAAAGTGATCTGTAAAGTGTGGTTAAAATGGTAGAAAGTTACACAAGTTAGTAGCTTATGATCTGATACATATTAACTCATCAAAACACCTATAGCTATTTGTAATCCTGTTGCAGTGATGAACCTGTGATACCAGCCCCACAGCCAAGTATGCCTGTTGGGCCATCGTCAACATATGGATCCATCAACTCCTGACACAACAGCAAACTTAGGCCTGTAAACCTGATGCCTGTTTCAGAGCCAGATATCCCAAACCCCCCATCATCAATGTGCAGTCACTCCATCTTTGATTATCTCCCAAAAAAACCACATCAATGATGGAGTTACAGGCTGGTCATTAGATCCTCTAAAATCAGCTGATGTAAAATGAACTGTGGGAGATGATGAGGAAAACTATTTACTGGAGTAAAATCAAGTAATACTAGATATTTGATGCTTACTACAATCCTGTCTTGCTACAATTACCAACTAATTAATTATTCTGATTTTTGTAGGAATTATTCAGCTGATTGTTTCTTTTAGTTGACATTTGGATTAACATGCTTTCAACAAATACAGCATAAAACATTTTTATCCATCATGATTTGTCTGTCGTCGTGTGTCGTTAACTTTTCACATATTCGACTTCTTCTCAAGAACCACTGAATGGATTTTGACCAAACTTGGGACAAAGCATCTCCATGGGAAGCCGCTTCAAGTTTGGGAAGAAAAAGGGCGTGGCCCCAATAGGGGCGCCAGGAGGGGGAAAAAGGGGGTAAAATTAGGTAAATCTTTAAAAATCTTCTTCTCATGAACTAACAGTCAGATTAAGTTCATATTTGATATTTAGGGTCCTTATGGCAAGGTCTACATAGTTTGCGAATGAAAAACAAAATCGGGTCAAAAACGGCCCCACTAGGGGGCGCTCAAAAGGGTCGAAAATTCAACTTTGACCGATTTCAACCAAATTTGGTAGAAAGCATCCCTTAGTGAAGGACATATGAAATTATGTTGAAAAAAGTGATTATGTCCCCTTTGGGGCCCATAAGGGTTCTCAAGAACCAGTGGATGGATTTTCTTCTCAAGAACCACTGGGTTGATCATGTCCAAACTTGATACGAATGTTCAATACAAGGTCCTGGCAAGTGTTTTAACTTTTTGGGGTGATTCAAAATCCAAGATGGCCACCCTGGCCTCTGTTTGGCTAAGACATTTTGGACTTCCTCTCAAGAACCACTGGGTGGATCATGTTCAAACTTGGTACAGATGTTTACACGCGGTCCTGCACAAGTGTTGTTACATTTTTGGAACATTTTAAAATCCCCAGATTATTGACATATATTCATCAGGTGACCATTAAGGCCCCTTAGGCCTCTTGTTTTCCTCTCTTTTTCTCTCTCTCTCTCTTTCTCTCTCTTTCTTATCTCTCTCTTTCCTCTCGCTCTCTTTTCCCTCTCTCTCTTTCTCTCTTTGAAAGACAAATATTGGAAGTTATCATTTATTTATTGATCTACTTATTTTTTGGTAGATATCTTAATTTTGTATCCAAACATTCAAGTAATGGTGTATGTTATAGGGTAGTTATTGGCATTATTATAAAAGTACTGCAGTAGACTAAACATAGTGTTTAAATTATGAAGATTATATCCATGTTTGTATATATATCTGTTTATAATTATTTAACCATATGTTTTTGTTGTAGAACAATACAATATTTCTATATGTAACAAGTAATAATTTTATGATTTATGAAAAAAAAAAAAAATAAGATGATAGTAAGTACTATTTTGTTATATAGAGTGTAGCAATTAATTGAATTGAACTGTCTCTGTGTTTGATAAGTAAAATGTTGCATTATGCTATTTAGTTCCTCTGATATGTTTGGTAATTATTGATGTATGCACAATGTACCCACGTAATGTGTGCAGGTTTTTAATTTTGTTCTTTTTTTTTTTGGATGAAATAACTGTCCAAAACTGGGAATGTGTACATTGCGTAGCTATTGGATTTTCAAGTTTTTTTTTTTAATGGAAAAATCAAAGATTCTGTGAAGCGGCCATCATTGTTTGTCATGATTATCTGGTACTCAGAACTGACAAGAAAGGATTTGACAATTTATTTATGAACAAAATTAATAGATATGTATATACTGAGAAGCTTATTTCTGGACTTTCTTATGAGAATCATGAAAAGATTCTTGAGAATGTTTTCTTTTTAGTGAGTCCATCTGGGGAGGTAAAATGAAAAACTCAGAATGAGCTTAATAAATTGCAAACCAAATGAAAAGAAATTTTGACTGTTGTATTTCTTAATGAATCTACCAATCGAAAATGACAAACATTAAACCATAAAAACACTATGAATACAGCTACTCACATAATGGATAGGTGGCGTTTCTGAAACAGTTCTTCTGTATCTGTATTGTTATAATTACGTCATAGATTCTCAGCTTGGCTATAATATGACATTGATTTGTCATATTTTGGAGAGAGGGTGTTTGATTTTCAAAAGAATTATTTCAAAGATAAGATGGAAATCGGTACATAAACCTCACATGTTCGTAGAACCATACTAGAGACACGCTGTATTTATTTGCCCTATTATCATATACACACATATCTGTGGTAGCTAACATTATTGGTGAATAAAGATGTATGTAGTACCTGTGGATCCAGAGAACATCATTCTGATACAGGGCATTTCATAACAAGAGGCTCACAGGGTCTGTATCGTTCACCTGAATCTTAAAGCCCATCAGGACCAAAAGGTAAAATACAAAGCTATGAACGTTACTGAAAGGCTTTATAAAATAAATTTGAAGAGAAGGTAGGTAGTAAATAAAAACAAGTTGTTGTTTGTTTATAATAGTTTACTGAAGCTTTATTGTGCTTTGTTTACAATGACAAGGGATGGGTGATAAAACCAGTCGCATTGTGTACCGTGCCCACTTCCGTGTCTAGTCTCACCACGGCCCCGGAACCCCAAGAGTTAAGTATTATTGTACCAGACTGTGGTCAAGAGAACATGTGGGTTGTGGCATGACCTGACAGCATTCCCACACATTTGGCTGGTCCACAAGCCATGTTTGTTTTAACACTTTTCGCCGAGATTGAAGTGCTTGGCGACTTGTGCTGAGCAAATCTGAGGTTAGAACGTTGAAATTATAACAATTTTCCCTCAGATAGCGATCGATACCCTTGTGACAGCCTGTAAGTGTCCGGCCAAGCACCATCATTTTTTCTGAAACGACAGCAAAAATCCGTCTATCCGTATGCGTCTATTTTAACTAGTAGAATCTGAAGAAAAAAGGCTTCCACGGCAACTGTATTCTCTATCTGGTAACAGTTTATCATTTTTTAAATGACCAAACATGTGAAATAATCAAAACCAAACCCACGCAATTTCAATTTTCAGCATAAACAAACACTGACATCAGCGAGTCCAAAGCTAAGAACGCCAAAAAAGGATTTCAATTTCTGTGAAAACTTGGCCTATCTTGTTTATCAAACACCCGATGGAAATATAAAATCAATGTACATGCATTGCTAAGATATAAGGCCCTTAGACCATCGGAAAATTATAACTGAGAAAAAATGGTTTCCCTTCTCGGGAGTTACACCCCTTGTCACTATATCTGTTGGCTAAGATTTTGTGCCAAGTCCTCAGTTGTGGGCCTACTGGTTTTATTTTATTCTTTACCACTGTGTCCAATTGCCACATCGGGGTCTCGAAAATGCATAAATACACAGGGATGTACAAATCAAAGCATGTGAAAACGAGGTCAGGTAAGAAACGGCTTCATATCGCTCCATATATGGAAATAGCGCACGGACCGCAGCGATATCTCAGGTATCATTTAAACCCATATTTGGGGTTGATAATCCAGAATGCTTGACAAAGATTTACCAGTCAGAACAAATTTTCATATTTCACTTTTGAATCTCGCTTTACTCTCATTTCTAAGAAATGCATCATTACCATCCAATGTTGGGTCTGACGAGTTTTGCATAAAGAACTCGTCCGGAAATGAATATCGATTTCTTCGGCTGTAGAATTTCAGAACAACGATTATTATCATCGATATTTCATGTGAACACAGGGGTTTGTAAAATTGTGAACCAGTGGATGTCTAAAACACGTCGACATTTTACATTTTCCTGCATTATCTTTATATAAAGAGTAACTTAATAATTAATTCAGTCATACTTGTATGTTATAATTCTGTCATAACTGACATAAGTCCTTAAGTTACTTGTATTTTTTTAATCTTCCTTTTTGCAGTAAATTACAACAAATATTCGAGAGTTAAAAGGATTTAAAACGGACGGGAATACATCTACCGTTAACTACATCTGAAAGTAAGCCATTACACTAATTATACGCCCCTGACAAAATCAGATGATTTTTTCAGTCGTATATTGACTGTAGTAATGTTACATATAGGACATAGACATAGGGTCAAGATGACATATTGCTATCATACATCGTCCATCGCCGTATGTCATGTGCCATCCGTAAACTTTTCCTTTAAAACACTACTCCTGCTGATTGCCTAGGTGGATTTCAACCAAATTTGGTCTGAAACATAATTTGGGGTGAGGTGATCATTTCTTAAAGTCAACAATTGGATTCGACCCCTAGGGACCTAGGGATGGGGCCCCGAAATGGTAGTAAACCAATACTTCACTTCGAAACGCAATTCTTCCTTAATGCTTGAATGGATTTTATGCAAATTATGTCTGTGACATCAGCAGGGGTTGGCAAATAATTGTTAAATCCAGTAATGTGATTAGACCCCTAGGGACTTGGGGGCGGGGCCCAAAGAGGGGAAATTGGACTACATATTGCTTCAAAACGCTACTCTTCTTAATGGCCTGAAACATTACCAAGGAGTGGCAATGATATCAAACATTCATGAAGTGATCCTGAAATTGTCCTGACCAAATCTTATTTTTACCTTTGGTTCAATTCCAATATAGCTTATCTAGAATAAATAGCCTGAACTTCTTCTCATGTTTCATTCACACCAATGAAAAAAGTATTTGAAGTTTGATTTTTAAAGAAAAGAAAGAAATGATTTGTTTTATTTTTCAGTCTGATCAAAACTTCAACATGGTTATTATTTTGTAACATAATTACACGACTGTCTTTCATGAACAGAACCTACCATTTTTGAGTTTCTGATACTTTCAAGGAATGTTCAAAATTTGAATCTGTCATATTTGTCAGGCGACCATCAACGAACTCTGTGGTTTGTCTATCCATTAGTCTATTAACGGATCGTCAGGTGACCGTTTAAAGCATGGCCTTGTTGATTAACATTGTCTGAAGATATGAAAAATTGTTTCTGAATAAGCAAAGCAAGCATTTTCATTTGTATTATTATATTAATATTATCTATTATCATTGGTTTCTGTACTAATTTGACTAACAAATAATTTTAAAATAAAATGACAAATAAATTCCTCAAAATATTTGCACAATGTACATTGAGGTAATGGTTTGTTTTCAAAGTAATATTTAAATAATTAGTTGATAATTAAAAAAAATAATAATAATAATAAATAATTGCAAAATGATCATTATTATTGTCGATGTCCGAAAACAATGTATCAGGAACTAGAAAAAATCCACATAGCGGGAAATATTTGTCCTTTGAGATATATACAGAGTTACTGTTCTTGGCGAGTGAACAGTTTTTTTGTGCATGAGTTTGTTGAGTTTTCCGTCCGTTGTTCGCTATCGATGAAAAATTAACTCTATTACTTTCGGCGAATTATAGTTGAAGTATTCATGAAAATGTACAATTAATTTCTAATTTAAAAGCAAACGGAATTTCACCGTCAAAAAAGGTTATCGTGAAGTCAGGAGATAGTCCGTGACTGTATACCGAGAGTACGCCTTGCTTCAGCCAATCGCATATTACTTTTAAAATGACGTAGGACGGTTATACATCATCTTATTATACCAACCAATGAAATCGCTTGAATAAAGCAAATGTCGTCATTTCGATCTAATTTAGAGTCGGGAAATGGAATTTCTTACCCCGGTATTTGTCACGACAAACCCAGAGCTTCGCATGCTAAAATATGAGCGCATAAGAGTTTTGAATAATTTCTTGATATAAAAACAGTACACTTACTTCACAGTAAACGAGAAAGAACTCCTATCATGCTTAGCGTTGTAGTCAAGAACGACAACTCAATACCGCTTCAAGTTCGCGGGAGTGTTAATATTTCACGATATGATTACAAATCAAAAAGGATGTGTCTGGTAAAGTTTGCCATTGGTCGTCATATCGAAAGAAAACGCGGTTCGAGCCTGGTTTTTTTATGCGGAACGAAACCGTGCCATCTGCGTGTCGTTACTGTAGGAGAAACGAGAGCGGACCGGTCCCTCCAGATCTATACCTAAAATGTAATTACTATTTAAGTTGACCAATCGGTTTGTCCATGTAAACGGACACGCTTCTACGTTTTTATTTATGCCATATTCTACAATAAAACAGGATATTCGAAGTAACTTATGCACATTTTGTAACGTTACGTGTCAGATTACTCAGAAATCCGAAATAATGAATATAAAATAATCTGAAGTAACTATAATTCTTTGTTTCTTTCGATGAGATGTTATATACTATTATCAAACTGATGTCGTCTATATTAGATTATGAAAAGCATGCACAGCTTATTAAGCCAAACCTATGGTAGTACATAATAAACATTACATTTCGTTTCTATTTTCGATTCGTTATATGCATTTCGCAAGATATATGAAACGAGACAAGATGGCAGCTGATTTACAGGATCACATCTTGGAGTTAGTCAATTATGTTAAAGTCGGCGTCGAAAGGCAGGATACCGCTGTCTTGGGTATACTAGTAGCTGTAGCTGTCGTATTCTTAACGATTGGTAAAGTATTTTGAATATATATCCACTATTCAATATTTTTGAGATGATGTTCTCTTGTAAGGTGCCACATGGACAAATATCAGCATATGGTATCAATAATGTGTTACATTTTCAAAGATTTTAACCATAATCACTGGTAACTCAGACAGGTGGTAATTATAATTACATTATACAGCATGTATATATAAAGCATGCATGTATTATAATGTACATGCATGCTTTCCGAAAAGAGGTAGATGGACATGTATGACCACAAAACTATTGTTAGGTGGGGGTTAATATTGCTCGCCATTCACAGGCTACTCCAACAATGTTAGAGGTTTGCACGGCGATATACTTTTGACTGCGCAGATCCGTCAATGTAATCAGGCGGACTAAGACCTCTTATAGGTATAGGAGTATTCACAGGCATGACCTGAAAAAAATCGAGTGCGGACACAGAGAAACAATTTGTATCTCAAGCACTTGAAGCCAATTATCGGTTAACTTTAAATTATCTACAAGCATAACTCAACACATTTGTATAATCTTTCATTTAAATGAAACCACCATTCAAATAAAATGTGCACAGGCATCAGAAATTTCGCCCGTGTAACGTGACGCTACCAAAATGGAACACATTTCGCATATGAAATTAAAAACAAACATCATGCACATACTATGTGGTTTTTTGTTAGTTAAAAGAATATTTTCTCTCACATGGATTACAACATTAAAATCCCATCATTAGGTATAGACAATGAAGTAAAGTGCCGTATGTTAATTTGTTCCAAAGAAATTTATTTTTGAATATTTTTATTACATATAACAGCCTACAAACATTTTTCATCACAGTTTTAATGAATTAATATTCATTCTTTTGATTTTGCTATTATGTTTAATATTGTAGAAAAGCTTCATTGTATATTACACACTAAACCCTCAAAGGTCGCTCACAGTCCCTAACCAATACAACCATCACTTAGTCGTTTTAAAAAGGCTTTGCTTTCTGGTCAAAGAGAGTTGACTCCACCCCCTTATTTCAATTATGGAGAGAGAAAACTAAATATTATTCATACAAATTTAAGACATGCGTGCAGTTCTTTAAATTACAATCTTTTCCGTGTGAATCTCATGAATTCTCCAATGTGTTTCTGTGGCTTTGCCTGTGAAGATAACTATCATTTCTTCTTCGTTTGTCCAAATTACCAAAATCAGAGACTTACTATGTTAAATGACTTAAATACACTACGTTTTAATCACATAATTGATATTGATTTACTACTTTTTGGGGATAATCAATTACCTTTAGATATTAATATAGACATTTTTAGAATAGTACAAATGTATATAAGGGCCAGCAATAGATTTACAATTTAAGTTACTACAAAACAGCATTGTATATAGAAAGTTCGTTTGTTATTATGTTTCTGTTGTTTTCGTTATGCCATCACCTTAAAATTTATATAAATGTTAATCGGAGAGGGCATTGATAATGTTGAAATGCCCAATCCGTTGTTGTCAAATTTTGGCAAATAAAATATGTTTAAACTCTAAACCAATAGAGTAAAGTTCACTCAGGTTCGAGAACATGTCAGTCAGTTATAGTGGTTATATTTAGAAGTCAAGAAAGCGCTGTCAAATTAATTCAAATCAAGGGAGATAACTCTCCCAGTTTTCTCGGCAATTGAATATCTGTATTTAAGCAATGTCTTAAGCATGTCAGTCTACAGAACTTTAAACTTTGAGATGACAGGGATATTTATGCCTAACTCAAAAATTATATCAATTATTTTATTTCTGTGTGTTAGAGTCCTTCTGTTAGTCATCAAGATACAACCCAGAGAGCCAAAGCCCATTAAAAGTTAGGAGTAAAAAGAACAGGAAAGTTTCATCATTCTTATGGTCTGCAGGATTTATCATCAGTTTTAAAGCACCAACTAAAGTTGGAAAGTTTAGGTTTGGTGCAACATGAATGAGCCAATGGTACAAATTGTCTTGGAATAAACACTGTTAGGGGCGAAATGTTGTGGTGGGAACTAGTGAGGAGCCAAATATCAACATTGTTGACACACATTTTTTTTCATTTTCAGTTATCTTACTGTTTGTGTCTAGGAAAGGTAATGCACGTCATTCTGTCCTGCTATTGGGAACCTGTGATGCTGGAAAAACCCTCCTTTTCTCAAGAGTATGCTCATCAATGTTACTACAAAGGCACTTGTTGATATTAATGAAGGAAAATTATTTGTTAATTTGCTTTGATATAAAATTCAGTTAAAACTGCTTTTGTTTTGTGGCTAGAAGACAAATAAAAAAAGACTTAAAAAAGTCTGTACTGATATTTTTTTCACTTCAAAACCTACGGTACACGTACACATACTTTATCTTACAAATTTCTACAAATCTATGCAAGATTTTCTCAGTGTTATGGACATGGTATAGGTATTAATGGCTCTAATACCTGTAACAAATTAGTTTTGAATTATGAATTGTTCAAGTCATTGCCATGAATGCTTGTAATTGTGTGAAAGTGTGGTTTTCATTTAAACAGCTGGTTAAAGATATCAGGGATGATGTGATGACTGTAACTTCAATGGATACAAATATTGGAAACTATAAAGTTAAAACCAAGGTATGAAGATACTACAAATTGGATATCACTGCAATTGTATTATATACATCATAATCTTGTTTCTATAATAAATATGTAGAAATACATGTACATGTACAAACCTGAAATTTTCTGCTCCTATATCATGGTCATATAGTTGGTCCTGTGTTCAGGATAGTACTCTTCAACTGTAAGATTGTCAGTCTTTTTCTGATTTTTATATGCCCGTCGAAAGACGGACGTATTATGGTATGGCGCTGTCCGTCTGGCATAAACTTTTATTTGTCCGGAGATCTCCTCCTACATTTTTCAGTCAATCTTTATGAAACTTGGTAAGCTCAATCACCATGAGATAAAGTTGTGTTTTCCTGAACGGGGTATTGATTTGGTGATTTGAACAAGAGTTATGGCCCTTTGTTTATTTCACTTTAGAAATCTTGTCCGGAGATCTCCTCCAACATTTTTCAGCTGATCTTTATGAAACTGAATAGGCTTAATCACCATGATATGAAATTGTGTTTTCCTGAATGGGGTTTTGATTAGACGATTTGAATAAGAGTTATGCCCCTTTGTTTATTTCACTATAGAAATCTTGTTCGGAGATCTCCTCCAACATTTTTCAGCTGATCTTTATGAAAGTTTATATGCTTAATCACCATGATATGAAATATAAAAATCTTGTCTGAATATTTCCTCTAACCGATGTTAATTTCATACTGGACCTTAACTTGGCATGTGAATACACCATGGTGAGACAGCGTGTCCCATGCAAAATGTAGGTCACTGTGATCTTGACTTTGACCTCTATCAAAGAAAAGCCTTGTCCTACACCATTTGATACTGAAACGTGGGTGCACCATAGTGAGACGGTGTGTTGTGTACCAAAAGTAGGTCACTGTGACTTTGCCTTTGACTTCCATCAAAGTACACCAGGTGGAGGACTGTAATTCTTGAATTATCTTCTTTGTTTTGGAGATTCACAGGCGTATTTTGTTCTGCTCTGCGGTACTCTTCTTAGCTTATGCAATGGTGCAGTGTCCCCTATATGGATATTGCCCAAATTTCGTCAGAAACATACTTTGGTATAGTAAACCAAGTTTGTATAAACAGCTCCCTGGGGTAGGGCCCAATAGAGGAAATAGAATAAATTCTTTAAAAATCTGCTCCTCCTATAGGAATGAAGGGATGAATTTGGTTTGAAGCATTTTTGGGTGAAGGAGAATCATTTTTGTATAAACAATAAGTCTTGCCCCTTTGCAATGGAATTCTACTTCTTCTGTAGAAATGATTGGATTTTACGTAAATTTGGTCTGAAGTACTCTTGGGTGTAGGGGAATAAGTTCTGTATAAACTTTGCATCCTGTCCACTAGGATGTGAGGCTTGAGCTTAACTGGAGAAATGTAAGTTCTTCAAAATCTTTCTTCCATAAAGGGATATTGTCCAAGTATGGTCTGAAAGAATTTTTATGAATAGTGAATCAGACCTCTGTTTGACCACAAGGGCGGGACCCTAAAGGGAAATTATATTAGAAATGTTTAGCCACATTTAAAATTTTTCATTAAATGGCTAAATTAGCCAGGCGAGCTATGCAGTTGGATTGAGCCTCTTGTTTATTCACATAACCAGAGCAGAACCCATTTTTACAGTTACTTGGAACATGTTTGTTATTAAATTCAGAAAACCTTTGATATGTTTTTTAAAATTTTCTTATCTCAGTGGAAAATAATTAGCTCAATATATTCAAATTTTTATTCTTTATGGACATTTTTGATTTGTTGATACTAATTTGAATTGGGGTTAACTTTATGACAGAATAAAAGTCTGCGTATTGTTGATGTCCCTGGTCATGAGAGACTCCGGATGCAGTACTTTGATAAACATAAGCACATGGCAAGGTATGTTTAAATTGTTTAGAATTAATTTCTTTGCTTCTGATCTTTTCAGGATCATAAGTTTGTCCTCAATATTCCAATGTTTGTTTCCTTTGTATAACTACAGTAATGGTCTGATATTTCATGTATATACTCCATAGTTTTATTAAAACCAGTATTATTTCAAATGATGAATTGATGCTTTGTCATTCATTTATTAACACACAACTCTCATGACTGACTATTAAAACTGAATTTCATCAGTGGGTTTGAGCTGAAGCTTGTCTGAATGATCTGTAGATGGTCCTGACCAATGCAAGGGTTGTTATTTTTCGGGGGGTGGTGGGGTCTGAAATCCAATTTGGCCACCAACGTCGACATTGCTCTCTTGAAATTAACATTTTGAAACTACTTCTTGATATCATTAGTGTGAAAGTTTGTGGGAATGTTGAGAAACTGAAATATGAAGGGTCTTTTGCCTTTCCTGATGAAATATTTCGAACTGTTTTATTTATTTAATTTAAAGTGTTTCTGGTACTGTTGTATAATACATAGGTATTTATTGTCAGATAACTTAAGGTCCTTTGGGCCTCTTTCTTGTTTTAAGATATCTTTATATTGATTGTAATGTATTATTTTGTATTTCAGAGGAGTGGTGTTTGTAGTGGACAGTGGGACATTAATGAAAGAAGTGAAGGAAGTAGCTGAGTAAGTCTTCTGAAAATCATGGTCTGGGTCATGGAAGCATAGTGTTTCTGCACAAATCCTACCTACCACATGTCAGCATTTTCTGTTCAATTTTGCAGTTGTTCCTTTAAGATAAACATACCTCTGTACACAAACCTACTGTAGGCTTGCCTAATATCTATACTGCTTACCTGCAAATAATGATGACACAAAACTATGAATATAAAATGAATATTTGTGCATTGATTGTTTCATTTTGAATACTTTAATTTATCTCTGAATTTCAATGCTAAATTAAACTTGTTTGAGTTGACGACAGGCTTATCAAATCAAATCACCTTATTATGATAATGACTACCTTGTTAGAGACAGATGACCAGAAAGTTGATTTAACCACTAGGAACTAAGGGAGGGGCCTGAAGTGGGGAAGGGAGTCGGTGGGTTTGCTTCAAAACAATACTATTCCTGAATGATTGAATAGATGCCGTTCTTTTGTCTGAAACAATCAGAAAGTTGATTCAATCCTCAGGGACTTAAGGCCAAATTAGACAATAGGTTACTTTTAAATACTAATCCTCCTTAATGCTTAGGTATATTTCAACTAAATTTGTTTAAATTCAGAAAGTTGAGTTGACACTTAGGGACTTAAGGGCTATCCAGCCCTTAAGTCCCTAAAGGGGAACTTAAGCAATATTTTGCTCAGATGTGCATGATCAAATTTAAACTGCTCAGAAAACAAAATAGGTGCCCAGTTGAAGTTTGTTGTTGATTTGATAAACTGGTTCCTGATGGACTCTATTTAGAAGGATTGGAAAGGAGAGCAATGAGGAATGAAAATGTACCAACTGATATCATACAATACTGAGCACCAAGGTCCCTCTGGGATTTCTTGTTGTATTACTGATTCACTCTCGTTAGCCAGCAACTCTATTTCTTAAGGGATTTGGATATAGCATCATAATTTTATCTTCAACATTACATCAAATAACTTCATATCATGGGCTGTAAGATCAAGGTCATATTTTCTATTAATGGAAATTTCATGCTTTCTATTTATACTTTAGTGAAGGCAGCACTGACATTCATATTGTAACAGAGGTCATTATCTATTTCAATGTCTCCGCTAGGATTCGAACTCGGGACCTCTGTCGTACTAGTCTGAAAATTAACCGATTGAGCTTAAGAGATTTTCACTCTAGCCAATCGGTAAATTGTGGCTAGTATTTACCAGGGTTACAAGATCATAAAATTGACACATTTTCTTCCTGTTTGTATGCTGTCTCATGAAATTCATGATTTGTTATTTTCTAGATATTTTATGACCAAGTAAAGTATGCACTTTTGTATAGTAGTGAAAGTAGTGATTTTGGTTAATGTTTAGTGCTGCAATCTATAAACACTATTTAGCCAGCACAGCACCACAAGCCTGTAACAATGCATTTTGGCTTAAAAATTCTCAGGTTTGTCTATGATGTTTCCAGAAAAGTCAATAAGAGTTAACTATTAAAATTTGGTGGCATTCTAACAATGGATCCTCTTGAAGTGACAGATGTTTTTTTTTTTTACAAATTTTAATAGTGGACTATTCATAAAGACAAGTTACAAATTAGTGGCTGTAAATATGTACAGTAAAGCACTTTACAGTAAAGCACCCAGTGTGACTATGTGATCATGTGGTCACTACTGCCTTAAGTTATATTATAAGCATGTTTAATTTTGATGACAGGTATCTGTACACATGCCTCAGTGATAGTGTGATATCAAACAGCACTGTTCCTGTACTAGTAGCCTGTACCAAATCAGATCTGACTCTCAAGAAAGGCAAAGATGTCATCAAGAAAAATCTAGCAGCTGAAATGTAAGTTTTTATCAATTTTATTCATTACAGTCCAGCTTCAATGGTTTTAAGTTCAAGGGACTACCAAAAAAACTTTGAATCATTTGTGGTGGGTTATATAGAAGTTTTCATGTTCATGGCTATATGTAGTTGATGACACAATATTTCTACCTGAACAAACACAAATACCAAAACACAAGTGAAATGAAAAGATGTATTTTTAAAAATTTTCATTATCATAGGTGACCATGAGATAATATATCTTATGGTATTTCTACCAGGCTTCATTAATACTTGTATATATATATACATATATGAAAAGAATGAAATCAACATGGCAAATGTATACTGCTTACGTTTTCAGGCCAAACGGCCATCTTCAGGGGATACATTTATTGTGTGTATATATATATATGACTTAGTCACCAATTTAAAACCTGACAAATGTATTTTACTGTTTACTGAATAAAACTACATGTACTGGTATATTAAATATATACTTATTATGGAACCATTTGTTGAAATATATAAAATGTTCACCGAAATATGAAACATAACAGTATTGTTTAGAATTATTTATTACAGATGTACAAAAGTAGTGGTGCCTTCTTTAACCAACAGAAATAAAATTTGTAGGAACTTACTGGAATGAAATGTATATTGTATGCCTATAGTTGTTATTGTTGATGTACATGGGGTGTGTACTCACAAGTAAATAGAATATAAAAAACACAGAGCAACAAAAATCAACATCAAATTGTAATATACTGGAATCAAAGACTGATTATATTGTGATACATTGCTGTGTCAGACCAAACAATCAAAAGTACATCAATATGCCTTATTGTCAAGGACAGATGAATTGTGGTTCTAGAGAGTAAAACTGGGAAAATTATCAAACTTCTTGTTGGACTCATGATTTTGGAATGAAATGAATCAACATTTTGGATTGTTACTTATGATTTTTTCACCTGTTTATAATACTGTAAGATGAAATATGTTGACATCATGGAAAATCCAGGGGTTATGATCACTTTTGCTGTCCTTTGTAATCTTCAAAAGAGTGTACCAGTCTGGAAATGATCAGTGTTATTCTCTTGAAACCTACTGTAGACCAATCAGTTTAATTGCGTGTTCCTTCAATGAAATGTTCCAGAGGTGCAGTGAGCGATATTGAGCTTGACATATGTACTATCAAGGTGGTGTTTTTGTGACACTAATTTTTTTTGGTTTTCAAAAAATTACAATTTCATGCACACTTGGCTTTGTCAATATATTGCCCACTATATCTGATTAAACTAATTTTCATGATGACAAGGATGGTGATGATAGATTACAATGATTCTTATGATGATAACGATGATGAATGGTGTGACTTTGGTGATGACAATGAATAAAGATTGTTATGATGATGATGATGAAGAATAGATGGCAACTTGATGGTGATGAATGAATAATGATTGTGATGATGATGATGATGATGATGATGATACAATGGTGTTAGGGCCTAATGTAAATGAGAGTAAGAATGTGAATGACTTTCTCTATCAGTACCAGGTAAAATTTTCAAAAATTAAAAAAAAAAAAAAAAAAAAAAAACAAAGAAAAAAACAAAATTTTCACATTTTACAATAATTTTACTTTTTTCCTTTAAAGTCCCCTTTCTTTTTTTTCTTCTCTTTTTATTAACAAATACTCAAATTCATTAAATAAATACTATTCCAGAATAATGAAGAATTTACATTGTGATTTTTAGGAGCATCATGCGGGTGACTAGATCGGCTGCGTTACAACAGTTGGAGGGTCCAGCTGCAAATAACAACACATTCCTTGGGAAAAGGAATAAAGATTTTGCATTTGAAGATCTCAAACCACTCAAAGTAGACTTTGCAAGTTGTAGTGCACAGACTGACAACATGGATCTGTCTGAACTTGAGAGTTGGCTTGAAAAACTTGCATAAAATTGGCGAAATTGTTACAGTGAATGCTTGAATGTCTGAGCTCAGAAGTATAATTGAAGAATGACTGCTATGTGATCTTGTGTTAAAATGAAAATAAACCATTATGAAATTTCCAAAATATCAAATGTGATTATAGTATAGGTTGTAATTATAGCTCTTCAGTGATTTATTTGTTAGAATTGGATATGAACTATCTTATCAATCTTAAGAAATACTGGATGAATATTTCTCAAAATTCATTTGTATGTTTCATTTTTGTCCCTAGTTGTGCCTGTTTGATTTGAGACTGATTAGGAAAACAAAGTGGCTGACAGGGGGCCATCTTGGATTTTGACAATGAAAGTTTGTTATCATTATACTTGAGAGGAACTTGATGAATCTTTCTCTTATCCAATCCATAGGTTCCCCTTGGTCCCTAGTTGTGCCAATTTGATTTTGGGACTGATCAGAAAAACAAAATGACTGACAGGTGGTCATCTTTGATTTTGACCTTGCAAGTGTGTTATCTCTATTTCTTGAGAAGCACTCGATGGTTCATTCTTAAATTTCATATGCAGGTTCACCTTGGTTCCTAGTTGTGCAAGTTTTGGTCTGATCAGATAAACAAAATGGCTGAACGGTGGCCATCTTGGACTTTGACTTCGAAAGTTTGTTGTTGGTATTTCCTGAGAAATACTGTATAGATCTTCCTTCAATTTCATGTATAGGTTTATCTTGGTCCCTAGTTGTGCCTATTTGAGTTTGGTACTGATCAGAAAAACAAAATGGCTGTCAGATAGCCAACATGGATTTCACAAAGTAAAGATTGTTATCCCTTTTTCTGAAGAAGTACTGAATGGTTCTCTCTCAAATTTTATATGTATGCTCCCTTTGATCTTTGCTTGTGCCCATTTAATTTTGGAACTGATCAGAAGAAACAAAATGGCTTCCAGGGGACCACCATTTTTGATTTGGCAGGTAAAGATTATCGTCACTTCTTCTGCAAAGGAATGTTTACCAGGTAAATTTCTGATCATTATGAGCAAAAACAGAGAAGAGAAAAGAAGGGAAATATCCAACATTCAAAGTGCAAATAAAATTTAAAAATGGTGGGCGCCAAGATCCCTCAGGGATCTCATGTAATTCAATATCTTTCATATCGTTGTCAACAGTTTAACTCTTTGATAAGATTGAGAGCTTTGGCATGGTTCCTTGTTTAAAAGTATACAGTTATGGCTCCTGGTTTTATCACCTTTTTGCTCCTCAGCACATATAAGCATTTTAATTATGAAGATACGTCTAGTAATTTGCTTAGGAATAAGACAGCAAGTAAGTTTCTGGTGGATAGTATTCAAAAATTAAATATTTTGAATCATTTAGAAGCTTGACAATGCTGTCTTTTCCAAACGTGCATATGATCCCAGGAATATGACTGATTGTCTAGTAATTGAATTCAATAGTGTAAATTTAGGCTTATTGACAATGTTCAATGGCCTAGTGTGGTCAGGTCATCTAATTTAGTCAATATGTATTTAGATAGTTGTTTAGTGACTGCGGTCATTAACATAAAAATCAGGATTATTATACAATAAGTAGTTAAATATTTCTGTAAGTGAAATGCCATTGTGTCTACGAAATGCTGCTTAGTCCCAATACTGAGATCCTGTGACGTATGAATGGAGTGAAACATTTTACAAAAATAAATGGAAAAAACAAGCCTTTGCGCTAGGAAACGACTTTCAGTAGACAATTAATGTATTCACCTGTTTCATATGAAAACATATTTGAGAAAGAGAAAAGAACAAAAATGTCTCAGCTAAGCTTCCAAACATTTAGTCATAACTGGTCACATCGTCCAGACTATCTAAAAATTGCCACTTTAATCAGAACGATGCCACCATTTAGCGATTACCAAATAATAAACTTTGGCATTGATGTACATCTCATTGATATCATTTTTACGGATGGTACAAACCGTAAAATACCTCTGATTAACAAACATTTCAACGAACTACATAGACGTCGCCACTATCTTGTGTATGAGTAATGACAAACTAGCAACCCTGCCACCTCTAGCTGGACACTCTGCTGCTCAACTAAAGGTAGCCGATTAGGCTACTAACACAAACTGTTCTAAGGTACACATTAAAATTGTTGTTAGAAACAATTGGATTTCGCACTTACAATTTAGGGTTAGGGGTTGGAAGGGATTTTATTTTTCATTTCCGTCTATCCGTCTGTTGCTACATTTGTCAGGGATTCTCATCAAACATCAAAGTTATTAAGCATCAAAAGGAAAAAAAATATATTTGTATTTCAGGATTGTAGGACAAGGTCAAGGTCATTATAACCATTTTTCAGAAAATCATTGTTGCCACTCTAGCATGTTGGGTCCGGTGGGGGAGATGCATTTCATTAGCAATACTCAGTACGGTAGCATGTGGGGTCCGGTAGGGGAGATGTATATCATTAGCAATACTCAGTATGGTAGCATGTGGGGTTCGATGGGGGAGATGTATTTCATTAGCAATACTCAGTACGGTAGCATGTGGGGTCCGGTGGGGGAGATGTATTTCATTAGCAATAATCAGTATGGTAGCATGTGGGGTCCGGTAGGGGAGATGTATTTCATTTGCAATACTCAGTACGGTAGCATGTGGGGTCCGGTGGGGGAGATGTATTTCATTTGCAATACTCAGTACGGTAGCATGTGGGGTCCGGTAGGGGAGATGTATTTCATTTGCAATAATGCTCAGTACGGTAGCATGTGGGGTCCGGTGGGGGAGATGTATTTCATTAGCAATACTCAGTACGGTAGCATGTGGGGTCCGGTGGGGGAGATGTATTTCATTAGCAATACTCAGTACGGTAGCATGTGGGGTCCGGTGGGGGAGATGTATTTCATTTGCAATACTCAGTACGGTAGCATGTGGGGTCCGGTGGGGAGATGTATTTCATTAGCAATACTCAGTACGGTAGCATGTGGGGTCCGGTGGGGCAGATGTATTTCATTAGCAATACTCAGTACGGTAGCATGTGGGGTCCGGTAGGGGAGATATATATCATTAGCAATACTCAGTATGGTAGCATGTGGGGTCCGGTAGGGGAGATGTATTTCATTTGCAATACTCAGTACGGTAGCATGTGGGGTCCGGTAGGGGAGATGTAATTCATTAGCAATACTCAGTACGGTAGCATGTGGGGTCCGGTGGGGGAGATGTATTTCATTAGCAATATTCAGTATGCTAGCATGTGGGGTCCATCACGTCAGCGACACCACATATGTAAGTACCTTGTGTACAATCACGTCAGCCATACCACATATGTAAGTACCTTGTGTAACACCACATCAGACACCACATATGTAAGTACCTTGTGTATCACCACATCAGCCACACCACCTATGTAAGTACCTTGTGTATCACCACATCAGCCACACCACATATGTAAGTACATTATGTATCACCACGTCAGTCACACCACCTATGTAAGTACCTTGTATACCACGTCGGTCACACCACATATGAAAGCACATTGTGTACAACCACGTCAGCCACACCACATAGTTAAGTACCTTGTGTATCACCACATCAGCCACACCACCTATGTAAGTACCTTGTGTATCACCACATCAGCCACGCCACATATGTAAGTACATTGTGTATCACCACGTCAGTCACACCACATATGTAAGTACCCTGTGTATCACCACATCAGCCACACCACCTATGTAAGTACCTTGTGTATCACCACATCAGCCACACCACATATGTAAGTACATTGTGTACAACCACTTTAGCCACACCACATATGTATGTACCTTGTATACCACGTCGGTCACACCACATATGTAAGCACATTGTGTACAACCACGTCAGCCACACCACATATGTAAGTACCTTGTGTATCACCACATCAGCCACACAACCTACGTAAGTAACTCGTGTACCACGTCAGCCACACCACATATGTAAGTACCTCGTATACCACGTCAGTCACACGACATATGTAAGTACCTTGTGTACCACGTCAGCCACACCACATATGTATGTACCTTGTATACCACGTCGGTCACACCACATATGAAAGCATATTGTGTACAACCACGTCAGCCACACCACATATGTTAGGGCATTGTGTATCACCACATCAGCAACACCACCTATGTAAGTACCTCGTGTACCACGTCAGTCACACGACATATGTAAGTACCTTGTGTACCACGTCAGCCACACCACATATGTATGTACCTTGTGTACCACCACGTCAGTCACACGACATATGTAAGTACCTTGTGTACCACGTCAGACACACCACATAAGTAAGTACCTTGTGTACCGCCACGTCAGCCACACCACATATGTAAGTACCTTGTGTACCACCACGTCAGTCACACCACATATGTAAGTACCTTGTGTACCACCACGTCAGTCACACCACATATGTAAGTACCTTGTGTACCGCAACATCAGCCACACCACATATGTAAGTACCTTGTGTACCACCACGTCAGTCACACCACATATGTAAGTACCTTGTGTACCGCAACATCAGCCACACCACATATGTAAGTACCTTGTGTACCGCAACATCAGCCACACCACATATGTAAGTACCTTGTGTACAATCACGTCAGTCACACCACATATGTAAGTACCTTGTGTAACACCACATCAGACACACCACATAGGTAAGTACCTTGTATACCACGTCAGCCATACCACATCTATTAGGACATTGTGTGCAACCACGCTAGCCACACCACATATGTAAGTACCTTGTGTACCATAACATCAGCCACACCACATATATAAGTACCTTGTGTACAATCACGTCAGCCATACCACATATGTAAGTACCTTGTGTAACACCACATCAGACACACCACATAGGTAAGTACCTTGTGTATCACCACATCAGCCACACCACCTATGTAAGTACCTTGTGTATCACCACATCAGCCACACCACATATGTAAGTACCTTGTGTATCACCACATCAGCCACACCACATATGTAAGTACCTTGTGTATCACCACATCAGCCACACCACATATGTAAGTACATTGTGTATCACCACGTACACACCACATTGTGTATCACCACATCAGCCACACCACCTATGTAAGTACCT